ACATCAATGAAGTGGTAAGGTCAGTGTAAATGTTTGAAGAAATGTTTTTTTATAAATAATAATTAAATATCTAAAAACATGAGCTGCAAATAAATGAGCCACAAATTTATGAAGAATTAATAAACACAAATTAGAATAAAACACAAGCTGGATTTAACTGAATAATACAAATTGGATTCAAATAATTGTGTGGGGGAATGTCAGTAAATAAACTGCAGGCAGTAGAAAAAATAAAGGTTTACTTAAAAGGAAACTTAAAAGAAATTAAATATGATCCAAATAATAGAGACCCATTTGTAACTTTTTTTTGGTGTCACTTTATTTTGATGGCCCCTTTAACGAATTATAAGTATAGATTGGTTGGGGTTAGGGTTAGTGTAAGTTGATGTACTTGTAAAGTTTCTTATAGTCGGTGAAATGTCTGTTGAAAGAGCAAAATCAACAGATAATAAGTCTACTAAAACTCAAATGAGAAACAATTGGCATGTAGTTGCAATGCAACTTTTAGTCAACAAAATGTGCAATAGGGACTATCAACATAAAGTGGATAAATCGTATAGCCTATATAGATGCAATACAAGTTCGGATGCCAGTTCCTTGGACAAATATGGTCATATTCGCGGTCCTTGCCATCAAAATAGGCTAATTAAAACCTGCCTTCGAGGACGTACTGGGCTTTTCTAAAGATTGTGATACTACGTAATGGGATAATATTACTTTTTGGTGGGTCTAGTGGTCTGAATTTGAGTGCAGTCTCTATTTTTTTTAAAAGCTACTTTATGCTCCGCTTAACGGATCTAGCTAGCCATTTTCTTTCTTCCAGCTTGATTACAAATAACAAAAGCAAGTAATAAATTCTGAGGGAATCTTTTATCATGTAAATGATGGAGCCGTTCGCCTCACAAAAGAGCACTTGCCAAAAAAACGTGCGTAATGCAGTCCTGGGAGTTTGCGAGTAGAAGGAAAATGTGAATTTCAAAATGCATGAATGTTTGTGAGTTTGATTATACGTAACTTTTGAGCGGACACGGAGGGCGCCTGATGCCCACAGATGTTTTGCAAGAGTTTCTGACGGTCTGACTGGTCGAGGCGGCGGAGTGAAGAGGTAAGTTAAACTTACTTCAGTCTGTGCAAAATAATGTTTGTGTTAAATGTTGGACGTGGTTGAAATCCCTTTGCAGGAGTTGTGTGCTTCATGGGTTGTCGGATTTGTCAAGCGAAATGCCAGAGAGAGCTGTTTTGAGCACTGATGGGGAAACAACATTTGTTGTGTTTGTGTAAATATGTAGATATAATATGCTGTGGTTTCAAGCGTTGAACTACACATGCTAAGAAAGATTACTGTGGTTATCACAATTTACCGTTGTTTCACACCTGAAGATGTTGCTAAGAAAGTGGTGTCACTGTCGTCAGCAATAAGAAGTAATGTAATCAAATGTAATGTTTTCAAAGCTTCCTTCATTTCATGTGTTTTATAATTAAAATATATCATTTAATTTTTAACTCAGAAATATAAAAGTTACAGAACTAGCAAGTGAACAATAATCTATTGAAAAAAATAGATAGATAGATAGATAGATAGATAGATAGATAGATAGATAGATAGATATTTATGTATGTATGTTTGTATATGATATTTCTTTTATTGCTGGATTTCTTTTATTGCTGGATTTCTTTTATTGCTGGATTGCGATTAATCCAGGGTTGCCACAGCGGAATGAACCACCAACTTATCCAGAAAATGTTTTACACAGTGGACACACCCATACTCTCTTGCATTCACACCCACATATACACTACAGACAATTTAGCTTATTCTATTCACCTGTATGTATGTCTTTGGACTAGAGAAAACCAGAGCACCCAGAGGAAACTCGTGCAAACACACCAGGAGAACATGCAAACTCCAAACAGAAATGCCAACTAAACCAGCTGTGGCTCAAACCAGCAACCTTCTTGCTGTGAGGCGATTGTGCTACCCACTGCGCCACCGTGACGGCCCATAAATATTATAGTCTATTTAAAAATATCTCCCATAAAAGTGTGTGCATGCACCATTTTTTACCTTTATCTATACCTTGTTTTGTACACGTCATGGGAGGTGCCTCCAGCAAGTTCCATATTATAATTGGAGTCACACAAGTACTAAACCGTAACTGGCAACTGGTTACCAGATTTTTTTCTCCATACTACTTTTGGTGGAGAAGGGAAATCCTGACAGGGATTTTTTGGACTGCTAAGGAGGAAAACAGTATTTGTTTTGGAAAGCATGCCCAGAATTGGCAGACCATACAGTAATAAGATATAATCGTTGTTCCAAGAGCAAAAATATAGTTTAACAACTTGGTGAATTTGCTCATTTAATGTACAGTTTGATCTTTATTGTCCTTTTCAGCTTATTCATTTGTCTTCATGCCTAACTCATCTAATCTCATCTGATTGTAAGTTGGATGTTCTCTTAAAGCCAAAATAAACATTTTGTATGTACATTGATATAGAAAAAGATCCAACGGAAACATTTAAGCATGTGAGGAAATGCACTTGGAACTTTTTCTGATGTCCGGCAGTCAGGAATGGCAAGAACAGTGGCTAAGGTTTTCCACAGGTCGTCCCTGAGGGACAGCTGAACCACACACATCCCTTTCTAAAGTTTCACTGAGTGCCAGGCAGCCTGATTGTTACTTGGGAAGGACACACCTTGTTTCTGACTCATTGTGTGTTTAGTTTTATGCATCTGCCCTGCGGGAATGTGGTTCCCATGATTTTTCGTTGCCATGGGGATTTTGTGTGCTTGTACTGAGTGTTTTTGCCCTGTGAATTTTTGAAAGCATTATTTACAATGACTTGGAGTAAAAACCTGCTTAATGTATGCATATATGTACAAATGTAGTTTCATTGGTCTGTCTGTCTGTCTGTCTGTCTGCAGTATCTGTCTATTCACCCATCCACCTGTCTGTCTGTCCGTTTGTCCATCCATCAATCTACAGTTTCTATCTGTCTTTCCACCTATCTATCCATCCACCTGTCTGTCCGTCCGTCCTTCCATCCATCCATCCATCCATCCATCCATCCATCCATCCATCCATTCATCCATCCATCCATCCATCCATCCATCCATCCATCTATCTATCCATCAACAGTATCTTTGTCTATCCACCTATCCATCCGTCTGTCCGTCCATCTGTCTGTCTGTCTATCCATCCATCCATCCATCCATCCATCCATCCATCCATCCATCCATCCATCCAAAGTATCTTTGTCGATCCACCTATCCATCCATCCATCCGTCCCTCCGTCCGTCTATCCATCCGTCATTCTATCTATCTATCTATCTATCTATCTATCTATCTATCTATCTATCTATCTATCTATCTATCTATCTATCTATCTATCTATCTATCTATCTATCTATCTATCTATCTATCTATCTATCCATCCATCCATCCATCCATCCATCCATCCATCCATCCATCCATCCATCCATCCATCCATCCATCCATCCATCCATCCATCCATCCATCTATCTATCTATCTATCTATCTATCTATCTATCTATCTATCTACCTATCATCTATCTATCTATATATCTATCTATATATCTATCTTTCTATTTATTCATATACCCATCCATCCATCCGTTTGTTTGTCTGTCTGTCTGTCTGTCTGTCTGTTGTTCTTGATCTCTCTGCCTATCATTTTCACTCTGTCTGTCTGTCTGTCTGTCTGTCTGTCTGTATGTCTGTCTATCTATCTATCTATCTATCTATCTATCTTCTATCTATCTATCTATCTATCTGTCTGTCTGTCTGTCTGTCTGTCTGTATATCTATCTATCCTATCTATCTATCTATCTATCTATCTATCTATCTATCTATCTATCTATCTATCTATCTATCTATCTATCTATCTATCTATCTATCTATCTATCTGTCTGTCTGTCTGTCTGTCTGTCTGTCTGTCTGTCTGTCTGTCTGTCTGTCTGTCTGTCTGTCTGTCTGTCTGTCTGTCTGTCTGTCTGTCTGTCTGTCTGTCTGTCTGTCTGTCTGTCTATCTATCTATCTATTCATATACCCATCCATCCATCCATCCATCCATCCGTCTGTCTGTCTGTCTGTCTGTCTGTCTGTCCGTCCGTCCGTCCATCCGTCTGTCTGTCTGTCTATCTATCCATCTATCCATCTATCCATATACCCATCCATCCATCCATCCATCTGTTTGTCTGTTGTTTTTGATCTCTGCCTATCATTTTTTGCCTGTGAGTTGTTCTGTCTGTCTGTCTGTCATTTTGTAAATCATGCCCAGAATTGGCAGACAATACAATAATAAGATAATTTTTGTTCTGTGTGTCCATTCTTCTGTCCATTCTTTCTGTTGTTCTTTATCTGTCTGTCTGTGTCATTGTGTGTCTTTTATCTGTCATTTTGTTCAGTTGTTGTTAATATTATTCTGTTTCTCTATCTCTCTCTCTCTCTCTTTCTCCCTCTCTAAGCTGATCTGGATAAGGTCACTGACCTGCTCAACTCATAAATGGAGGTCAATCTCAAAAATGTTGCTTTGTTCCTGCTTCACAGGACTGCATGTTTTCACTACACTCTCTCTCCTTCTTTCCCCATCTGAATCACTTTATCTCTCGCTTCCTCTCTTGCCGTCTCACTTTCTCGAATTAAGGACACATTTTTGTGTGTCCGTGACATTTAAAAGACTTCAAAGGCAATGCTTTATGCAAGCTGCACAGTTCACTCAGCCTGTCCAATTGTTGGTCATGCACATTTTAATACTGACTTGGTTGCTTTCAAAGCTATCCACATTGTCTTAAAGTGTGACAAAGCACGTGTTTGTGTGTGTACCTGTGCATGCATGTGCAGAAACGAGTGCGGCAATGATTCTTTGTACCCTGCAGGCAATATATCTGCCTGCCACTCCCTGTGCAAGGGCAGCTTAGGGCAGGGTTTCTTCACTCGTTCCCTCTTTCTCTCAGTCTGTTTTCCTCTCTCCGTCAGGGAGGAGCTTTGGTCTGTCATTCTCAAGTCCACACAGGTGAGAGTGCTGCTGAAGGAATGTGTGCTGAGCGAATGTGCAAAGGACAGAGGGAAAGGTGGAGCGACCTCGTTACCTCACGAAGCTAGGAAAAGAAAGGAAGGGTGTTGACTGCAAACCCACCTGAACAACTTGAGCAAGAGAGGAGGGACCAGACACACATTCACACTTAAACACGAGTCGTATGTGGGGGAAATATTCAGTCCATTTTGCACAGCGAGCTAGGAAGGGGGCTTTTTTAATTCTCTTGCAAGCAATAAAAGTTTGTCCGTGGCTTGGATTTGTAAAGACGCAGGTGGAAAACCAGCTCTGTTCCCCTCTTCTGTTAATAATTGGACAAGGAGAGAATTAAGGATTTTGTTTTTAGAGAATTTTTGCTGTTTCTCTGGACTCTGGGACTTGGATTGGGAAAGAACAACCTAAGAGGTTTGTGAGATCAGCAATCTTTTTGTAAAGCTTCACAGTCATGCATGCGTTTTGTTTGGCTCTCTTTTTTCTGTCTCTACTTCCTCTTTTTTTATTTGCCTGCTTGACTTTTTATGTTTGCTGATGTTTGTGGCTGTTGAAATGAACTTTAATGTTTTGAATCAGTTTGTTTGCTAACTTCTGTTTAGTTTTTTTGCGGGTTATTTGTCCTTTCTGTTATTGTTTTCATATTAAAGTGTTCCCATTAAATCCTTAAGAGGGTTTGAGAGGGAAAGATGGGGTTTGGCTGTCGGTTATTTCACGTTTTCCAATGAAAGAGTATAAAATGTGTTATTAAAACAGTAAAAAATGTGTTATCAGCAAGAATTCTACCTTTAAATGAAGTGTGACCCAGTGAAAAACTGCAAAAATGTGGTGCAGTTTATACATTTAGCTTAAACAAATACTAATTTGCTGCTTATTAATTGTAAAGTATGTTTAGGTATTGAGTAGGATTGGGGTTGTAGAATAAGATCATGCTTTATAAGTATTAACAAACAGCCAATATATTAATAATAGGCTGAAAATAATCCAGTTATAAGTGGAAATTGGTACTTAATGTCTTACCGTTCATTGTAATTCAATGTCATTTCAAGATTGATTGTAAAGTTACAATGCTATTGCAACTGCACATTTCTTTCAGAAATATTGTGTTTGTTCGATATGTTGATGCTATTATAATGCCTTTATTGTTGATTAATATATATAATTACATGTATTTGCTAGTTTTCGAGGTAGGATGATAAGATCATGCTTTATAAGTATTAATAAACAGCCAATGTCCTAATAACAGGCTGATAATAAAGCCAGTAGCTAGGAAGGGATTTTTTTACTTGAAGTCTTCATTGTAATGTAGTGTCATTTCATGATTGATTGAAAAGTTATTACACAACTGCAGCTGGATATTTCATTCAGGATTACTCTCTATATATGTTGCTTCTGTTTGATTTGTTGATGATATTATAATGCTTTTATTATTTACAAACATTTATAATAACTTGTATTTGCTTGTTTTTGAGGTGAGATTATGGAGGTAGAATAACATCATGATTTAAAACTATTAATAAACAGCCAATATATTAACAATAGGCTGATAATAATCCCATTTAGAGTGGAAATTGGTATACTTAATGTCTGCTCATTGTAATTCAACGTCATTTCACGATTTATTGGAAAGTTATCATGCTATTGCAAGTGAACAATTCTTTCAGCATTACTCTGTATATATTGTGTCTGTTTGATTTGTTGAGGATATTACAATGCCTTTATTATTGATTAACATTTATAATAACTTGTGTTTGCTTTGTTGAGAAATAAGAAAGATTGTAAAATTGGCATCAAACAGATTGCAATGCAAACAGCGTAATGTGTGTTTCATGTTTTATAGCTTCAATGATTCATTTGTTTGATGAAAATATTTATGTGATTTATCTGGTCTTTTGTGAGGTCAGCACAGCCCAGATCAGGTTCACCATAGCATGCTAAGGTCTGTTTAGGTCTCAGGTGCAGTGATGTTTTTTATGAGATTTTCTGAGTTTTCTCTCTGCCTGATGTGAAATTCCAGAGATGTTGGTCAGAATATGAACTTAGAGTAGAAATATGTGAATGTAAAATTGATGGATGTGCCAACAACAGGTTTAGAACATCCTGTTTTTGGGGTAAATTTAAAGATTTGTAAAAATAGTGGGAGATTATTCCAGTATTTCAACATAACGTATTCAATTCAATTAATGTTTATTGCTATTGGGCTTTTACAATGTAGATTGTGTCAAAGCAGCTTAACATAGATGTTCTAGCAAATTAAAACTGTCAGTCCTGTTTTCAGAGTTGAAGTTCAGTTTACTTCCATTCAGTGTGGTTTTAATTTCACTGCTGAAAGTCCAAACACTAAAGAGCAAATCAAACCAGAATATTTTCGTATAAACATTAAAAAGAGTGGATTTGATGAGACCTTATCCATGACTTGTATGTAAAATCCTTATTTCATTTGTGACTTTCTTACTACCTGAGTATTGATGAACATAAAAGATGTTTTTGCAAGTCTAAAATCAGCCCCAGCTGCTAATATATTCAACACATTCCAGTGGAATCTATACTGAAAAGTTTCACGAAAGCAAACACATGGGATTCATTATTTATGAATTATACAATGTTTGTTAATGACATAGAACACTTAAAAAATATATTATTTCAGAAGTAGGTTTTTGCACTGATGCCATAGAACAGTGTTTCTCAACCACGTTTCTAAAAGCTGACCCGCCCTGCATATTTTGGATGTCTCGCCCATCATTTTCTGTCACACCCATCATAGGTCTTTCAGTCTCTGTTAATGAGCCATGGAAAATGTGCAGAGCCGGTGGTCCTCCAGAAACGTGGTTGAGAAACACAGCCATAAAATGGTTCTCCAAAGATCTCTTCAGTGAACTGTCTCACAAAAACCTATTTTTTCTTAGTTTGAAAACTAGAAAAGAACTTTAAAAAAAACAATAGACCAATAGAGCCTTTTTTTTTGTCTTTTTGTCTAAGAAACGTTATTTTTTAAAATAAACCCATTTCTACCACAGTATGTCAATGCTAATTAGACTTTAATGAGCAAAAACAACAAGCCTACAGACCTTACAATAAGCAGATGGTGGTAATCTACTAACAACTGCCACAAACTGTTAGTAAATTACTCTCAGACATTCAAAAAAAACTTTTTTTCCAACAAATTCCATCAAGAAGCAATGCAAATGCTAACAATTCTAATGCTAAACCTTAATAAACCTTGTTGCAAGGTTATTTAAATGCTCTCCTCTTACAAATTTTGCATCTGGCAAGGAAATAAATGGGTTTATAATATATATATTCAAAAATAAATGTAATCACAAATCTTTCACTTCACATATCACATATTCATTGACAATGACAGCAGTTGTGTTAGCACTGTGAGTAACACTTTTTTCAAACTTAAGTTAACGCTGAACAAAACTTAATTGACCAGAACTTAATTAACTCTTAAAATCAGCATTCACTAATGCAATCCAATGCAAAAAGTAGATTTTTTAACACCTGTTAATGCACTGTGAACTGACATGAACAGTTTGCTGTCTTTCAGTTTGCTGTGAACAGTTATTTCATGTCAGCTTATGTATTAACCAATGTTAACAAATACCTGCTATGGAAAATAAAAATATAAGTGTTAACATTCAATGACCAAATTTTAAAGTCAGACTTTCCACTGTCTTTCTGTTCTCTGGATTCCCTGTCCATCTGTAGAGGATATGATAGGAATTCCTGAGGAATCATTGGTCTGTTTCTGCTCTGGTCTGTCAAGAGTTCAGATTTATAGGGGGTGAAATGGGCTCAGCTTTCATTTGATGTTTTGAGGGAGAAAAGAATCGAGTGAAAAAGCGAAAGAAGGTGATATCGGGCAGGTGGATCAGATTTCAGCTGCTGTTTTTGTGATTTACGTGCCAGTGTAACAGCTGAGGTGCGTGCTATTCTACTATTTAAACTGTGAAAACTCGTCTAAAGTAGTTTCGATCTACTAGAACTCACAAAATCAACATAGTAAAAGCGCTATTGATGTAAAGATGGATTGAAATGAACATTAGATTTAATGTCTGAAAGTCTAATTGGCTTCACGAAAATGTTTTGCAAATTAAAAGTGAATGTCCGCAGCAAAGTGTTTGTTAATGATAAGGTTTCAGCTGAATATTTTATGGTGTTTATTAAAGCACATGTCTAGCGTGCCTTGAATCACTCATTTGTGTTCAGCTATGGCGTGTGTCTCTGTATATGTGTGACATCTGTTGGCCATGTTTGACTTATGTGATCTCGCTCTTGTGTTTCAGACTGAAATGGGAGGATGGGCGATACGTCTGGCTGTGGGGATCTTCCTTCTCTTGCTTGCTGCGACAGACAGTCGTGCTGATGAAGGTGGGAACATCAGCTCTCAAGCCCCTTAAACCTCAAATCATAGTTACAGACAGTTTGACTTGGAAGCTGTGCCAGCTTCGTTTAAAAAACAGCAGATTACTCTATGCTAACTATAATCAGAGATATTAATGATTGTGATGGTATTTGTATATAAAAAAAATCGAAGTAAATCGGCACACTGCCACCTTGGCTCTCAAAAAAAAATTTTAATGTCAATATCACAACGTTTCGACTGACATGGTCTTCATCAGGTTCACCTGATGAAGACCATGTCAGTCGAAACGTTGTGATATTGACATTAAAAAATTTTTTTGAGAGCTAAAGTGGCAGTACATTTCTGTTTTTTGCATGGTATTTGTATATAACATTACATATCAGATCCGGTTGCTCCCATAGTCCAAAGACATGTGATATAAGTGAATTGGATGAACTAAATTGGCCGCAGTGTATGGGTGTGTGTGTAAATGCAAGAGTGTATAAGTGTTTCCCAGTACTGGGTTGCTGCTGGAAGGGCATCCGCTGCGTAAAACATATACCGGAATAGTTGGCGGTTCATTCTGCTGTGGTGACTGCTGATAAATAGGGACTAAACTGAAGGAAAATAAATGCATGGATAACATATCAGAATTCAGGTCTGTATTGTTGCACAAATCACCCTGAATTTGAAATAAAAGCCAATAGTTGATAGTCCACAAACCATAATTGTAATTGCAAGGAAAGACCACAGCTGATAATTAGTAAGAATATTGACAGCCAATCAGAATCCATCCTGATTTGACAAGCTCTAACATTTAAAGGGACAGACAACTTAGATGTGGCAAAATTGTAATAGATGAAACGGGTACTGTATTAAAGGTCCCCTGAAGTGCTTTGAAATGTGCATTTTTTTATTTCATGTTTGATGTAATCTCGTGGCGCAGTAGGTAGTGCTGTCGCCTCTCAGCAAGAAGGTCGCTGGTTCGAGCCTCAGCTGGGTCAGTTGGCGTTTCTGTGTGGAGTTTGCATGTTCTCCCTGCGCTCGCGTGGGTTTCCTCGTGTTGCTCCGGTTTCCCCTACAGTCCAAAGACATGCGGTACAGGTGAATTGGGTTGGCTAAATTGTCTGTAGTGTATGAGTGTGAATGAGGATGTATGGATGTTTCCTAGAGATGGGTTGCGGCTGGAAGGGCATCCGCTGTGTAAAAACGTGCTGGATATGTGGTTATTCCGCTGTGGCGACCCAGGATTAATAAAGGGACTAAGCCAAAAAGAAAATGAATGAATGATTGAATGATGTAATCGCAACTGAAAAATGAAAAGAGGACAGGACATTGTGTGGCTCCTACCCCTTTTTTTTACAGCCAATAGCATTTTATCACATCTCTGCCAGTGAAAGTGGTTGAGCTCAAGCACATCAAATGAAAAGTAAATGAGAAGGGGGCGGGTTATGTCACATACTAGAGAGCATCTGATTGGTCAAGATTTGATGAGAAACTGAAGGATGAGGTGACTTAAAAATACTTGTTGATCCATATAGGCGGATGTGGAAAAACTGCAAGCTTTGGGTATTTATGGTTTTATATCTCCTAAACGTGGATTTTGTCACGGTTTTGGAGCACACTAGCTTATTGACCTTATTCTTCAATACGGAAATGTGCTCGTTTTTGCGATTGTTTTAGAACTTCCAAATCAGTTGCCTACGGGAGAAATTACTAGGAATAATAAACCGCAGAAAACGATCAAACTACTGGCTCTAAAAACATTTGTTTGCATGGCTATACATAAAAGCAGAATAATATAATCAGAAAATATCAGTTTACAGCATCAAGCAGCATAACGAGCTGTTTTTAACCTGTAAAATGTCTCTCTAGCCTCTAGAAAAAAGTCTCAACCAAAAAGATTCAAATGGTTGCGCCCACTCGTACAAGGAGAATAAGGGGAATAGATTTCCTTAAAACCAACAGACTTAAACTTGCAAGTAAAATGGGTTATTTTAATTTCACGCGACCTTTAAGTCTCCACATATAATATTCATTTTATTATGACTTGATTTAGAGAAGACAAAGTTATTATCTTAATTATATACCGAATATGTTTTTGTGTGTGTGTGTTGCATAGTGAATCACTGCACTGCTGCCAGGACCAAAACCTGCTCAGAATGTATTCAGGTTGGCGCAGGATGTGCGTACTGCCCTGATGAGGTAAAAATGAAGGATATATAAACAGTCTATTGGATGTTTTGCTCAAGAGAACATTTAAAGAATTGTAAATAATTTACAAATCTAAACTTGTTGTGATATGACTATAAATGTAAAAAAAATGATGTAGTAAACAATGTCATTAAACAGTTATTTAAAGGAACACTTTAATGCTGTTTAATTAATCTTAATGCTATACGCTTCTTTCAGAAGTTTTCAATAATATCTTATACAAAAATGCAATAACATTTTTTATGTAACATTTGCAATTAAAAATGTTTGTTTCTGTTCTTATATAATTTAAAATCAAATTTATTTATTGGAAGAACAGCCATTACTCCTATCTCACATGATCATTTAGAAATCATTATAACATGTTGATTTGGTATTCAAAAGTTTAATTGATTTATTTAAAATCGAATTTTAATGCCAAAATTATCTAATTTTTTTGAACGGTTTAATGTATAATTGCCTAAAAAGGTCTAAATTTATTTATGCAAATAATAATAACTTTACAAGTTTTTATCAGTTAATATTAGTTTATGTATTTACTAATATAAACGAATAATGAACAATACTCACACAGCATTTATTCATCATAGTTCAACATTAACTAATGCATTATGAAAATACAAATTCATGCTTAACATTAGTTAAAGCACTGTGAGGTAACATTAACTAACAATGAACAACTGTATTTTCAATAACTAACATGAATAAATACTGTAATAAATGTATTTTTCATTGTTTGTTCATGTTAGTAAATACATTAACAGACATTATCTAATACAACCTTTATTGTAAAGTGTTACCGGAAAATATTACAGACCCTAATCTTTTGAGCAGTAAAGTTTAGTTAAACTATTTTAAATATAGTTTATAATATTAATATTAATAAAAC